AGGATGGCTCTGAAGTTTCTGGCTTAGTGACTAGGTAGGTGTTGAGGCCATTTGCCCTGGATGAGGACCAGGTTTGAGGAAGAAAAGCTTGAGCTCTGTTCTTGTTAAGCCAAGTCTTTGAGGAATTCAAGTGGAGAGGATTGTAGTGAATTGGCTAGTCTAAACTGGAGTTCAGGTTTGAGGTCTGGGCTGCAGGGAAAAATCTGGGAGTCCTAAAATGTGCCACTTAAAGCCTTTAGGTGGCTGAGATTGTGTAGGGGAGAGTTGAGTAAGAACAGAGCCTGATGAAGCCTGAAAGAACTTATGCTACTAATTGAAGTCTGTTTAATACTTGTAAGAATTTCAGTTTGTTTTGAAGCCCACTTGTAAAAGTGAAAGTAAGGAATAAGTTGGATCAAACAAGTTAAATACTTATGTTTGACTTAATGTGTACTTGAGTAGATAATCTAACACAATTCTTATTTGATTATTTGGAAATATACATTTTTCCTGCAATAGAAAACAAAATGGACTTCCCTCATATCAAACAGGCTGATAATGCTTAGGAGTAAGTATTGGTTTTTGCTACATTAATATTTTTTGCTACATTAATAGATCTGAGGGAAAATGATGTAATTATCTCCATAAATACTGAAAAGGCATTTTTAAACTCCGTTACTGATTTTTTTTTGACACAGCAACTTAAAATAAGAATTATTGGATAATTCTGTAGTATAATAAAACATACATACCTCAAATCAAAAATCAGAATCTTAAGAAGGAATTCCAGATGCCTTTCATCACCACTACTACTATTGGAGGCATTAGCTAGCATAATCAATAAGGAAAAACGGAGACATGGGGTTAGAAAGAAAAAGGTCAGATTACCCCAATTTGCTCATGATGTGTTGGAATATACAAGTGCCAGGAACTTTCAATTTTGTAAACAGTGCTCAGCAGTTAGAAAGTAAGATAGATGAGCATAAGGGGACAACAAGGTAAAATATCCAGCAATAAACTGAATAATAACTGTAAATACTCTACATTCCTAAGTTTCAATGTTATGTTAAATAAAATTAACAGTTCTGTTCTTAGGTAATATAAATCATTCCTAAGCCACATCTTATTCTCTAAATGCCAACTTTAAATGATACTTTTCAAAATAAGACTTCCAGGAGTAGGATCTTTAATGTTTGCATACATCTTAATGAGACCAGTTTTTTAAGTGGGTGAAATGAATAGTATTTCTGCCTCACCCACCCTCCCAATTGGGTATTTTTGTTGTTATTTTCTTGGTCATTGCTTATGTTTTGTAGTATTTTCTGTTTTGCCATGGTTTCTCATCTCTTATTGTAATTGTGTGAATGCAGAAGTGTTGACCTGGAGTATTTGCAGATAAAACACTTCTTTTTTAGCAACACTCAAAATCTGAAGCATTGATTAATTTTCTTAAGGCTTTTGTTTTTAGTAGCTATTTATAAAAAGTAATGAACCTGTCATTAAGAAATAATTTAACTCTTTTTACACTGAATATTTTTAATAGCATCTTTGTTCCTTAAAAAAAAAATTATACAAGAGATTCAGGTATCAAATTCAAATTTTCTTTTACCTGAAGCCCAAAGAGAATGTTTGACTGTTCATTACTTTTTACTTGTAGTTAAGTCACCATTTCTTCTTACTCCTTTCCATATTTCAAACTCATTTCTCTATATCATAATTAGCCAGCAGATGATAGCTTTCTGTCTCATTAGGTTTCAGAAGTTTAATTGAAGCCCAGTGCAAGTGTTACACCTAAATAAAAAATGCAGCTTTTAATCAGATTACCAGTGACTTTGGTTTCTGGAAGTGGAGAAACATTGCTATTGTTGCTGCTGTTCACATGTTCATTTCTTAGTGTTCAACAAGTGAAAACTGAAAAACTGATTCATTAAGATGTGGTCTCATAAAGATGTACACAAGTGAATCTGTGATTAATTTTTAAACATGGTTTTATTTTTTCCCAAGAATTCTAAAAACATTTAAATTGTCTGCATAATTATAAATGTTTCAAGGATTATTGCAGTAGTTTAAATTTGATCCTTTAAGGAAATTTTCTAAGTTTCATTTTCAAGCAAAGTATTGACTATTTAACATGAACTGCTTTTTGAAATCTTACGGGTGTTAAATTTCATAGTGATATTCTCAGGTATGTGTACTGACAGAATGAGTACACATTCTCAGGTATGTGTACTTTAAGAAATATTTGTACAATCAAATTGTAAGTAAGGGAAAACTTTTTATAAGAAAAAGTACTTTTTCATTGATTTACGTATGAGTTCAACAGTGAAGTTTGGAGATATTTATATTATATAACCCAATTATAAAGTTCAGTAGTATTTATATCCTCTGGAAAATTAACACAGTGATTCTTAACCTTCACCTACCATCAGAATTATCTTTGAAACTTTTTTTTTAATGCAGATATTCACGTCCACCTTTTTATTTAAAAGAAAAGACTACAAAGATTGAGACGCATTGGTTCATAGCTAGGGGAGAAAAAACACGGAAATAAATTTGATTCACTGTGTTAAATGTAATAAAATACAGATATATAGAAGAAGTAATTCAGACAAGCAACCTGACGTAATGAAAAGAACATATATCTTTAATATTATAGCCCTACTTTCCGTAGTTACTCTTTGTGGGACCTTGAGCAGGTGTTTTGATGTCTCTGAGCCTGTTCCTTTAAAAATGGATAGTTGAGATTAAATTGGATAGTGTATGAATAAGCACCTTGCACAGTTTCTATCATATAATAACTTGATAAATATTGGTGATACCACTTCACAGAAAACTCTACGCCTGAATAGGGTTTTGAAGGCTTAGTAAATGAATTCTGTGGATCAATAAGAATTGTAAATTAGAAGAAAGACCGTATGTGACAACCTGGAGGTAACGTGGTGCCGATGGAGGAACCAGGAAGTAGTCTTGTCTGTAGAAAAGAGGGACTATCTTAGACAGCATGGCTGAAATAAAATTGAGTTTCAAGTGAATTACAGGAATCCTGGCCAAAAATAATGAGACTCTGAAATAACAGCAATTGTCGTGGGATGTTAAATATAGTAGGAGATGTGAAGGACTTAATTTGTAGTTAATTTAATTTGAGTGAGGGCGATGGAAAAGAGGGAGCAGTCGGAGATAATCTGACAAGGGGTTTCTGTTTGTTCTTTGAGTAGAGGTTGACTTCAGTTTGGGAATTGGAGAATATGAGATATATTTGGGACATCCAGGTAGAGATATTCAAAGAGGCATTGGGTAGGCAGAAGTTGGGCAGCCACAGATAGAGGTTTGGGCATTAAAAACATACAATACCAAACAAAAGGGGTAAAAGATCTCTCAAGGATAAGAATATAATGAAGCCAAGGCCTGGGGAACATGGACAACTTACAAGGCAAGCAGAAGAAACAGATCCGCTGAAGGAGGATAAATAAAGGATATGATAGGTGGAGAATCCAGAGAGAATACCTCATCAGAAGGCTTTTTCACTTGAAAATGTGTTTTAGACACCTTTCACAATTAGTAACATAGCTTTACCTTTTTTAATGGCTATACTTTATATTTACCCTAATTCCTTATTGATAGATATTTGTTTTTAGTTGCTTCTTTAAAAACAAACAATGCAGAAGTTAACATTTTTTGGGAAAAATCTTTGCTTATGAATGCATCTGTAGAATACATTCTTGTAGATGAAATTGTTTAGTCAAAAAAAAGTGCATTAAAATTTTTGATGTATTACTAAATTGCTTGGAATATGTGAACCAGTATATATTCCCACCAAAATAGTATCTTTAATTTTATCTTTAAAATGGCTTGCTTCCTAGATGGATGGTAGTATGAATTTGAAAAATAAATATTTTTTATTTATTACTTTTATACAAAATTCTATAAAGAGAAAGGGAACACTTTTCATTTTATCAGATTACTTGGTTCATTCAAGTAATGTAATTTAAGAATGCATTTTGTCCTTGTAAGCACCAGATCAAGGAGTTCTTTGTTTTAAAAGAAGCTCTGTTTCCTCTTCTTATATGCTGGGAGCAATAATTGGACTTAGAGGAAGTGGATCAGAAGGAAAGAGAATGATAGTATTGTGAGGTGGATCAAACTTGAAGATAATTGATGAATACAAATAGTTCTTATCATTGTTGTAGACATAATGACATTGCCAACACAGTTTCTGTGTTAAGATTTTATACAGAAATATTTTGATTGAATTTTTTTCTTTTTGCTTCTTATGTAAACTTTAAGCAATGGCTTCAAGACTATAAAATGAGTCATTTTATAAAATGAGTTATTCTTGTAAAGTTGATCATAGGACAAAAATGTCTTAGAAAATACCCAGAGTAGAAATACTGCAGAAGTTTAAGTTGCCCTAAATTGTACTGCTTACACAATTTAAAGGTAAAAACCATGGACAAGTTTCACAGCTTGTTTTTAATTTAATCACCTGACACTGTTCACAGCCCCTGTATTTACAGCACCTGTATGGAAGGACCTACCTCCTAACTTCAATGATATTAATAATATTGGGGGGGGAGTTGATGTTAATTTTGTTCATTTTCTCTAAATTCTTTAGTATCCTTTGTGTCAGACACCCCCCTTTTTTTTTAATGGGGATCAAACCCAGGACCTCATGCATGCTAAGCATGCACTGTACCACTGAGTATTCCCCTCCAATTTTTTTTTACTTTGGGTTATGATCTATTTCTAGTTTGTAAAATGGATTTAGGGGATCATGACCAGCTTTTAAGAAAAAATGAAATAGAATTAAAAATATCAAGAGTACACAGAGTGTATACTGTTTAGTGAAATTTTTCATTTTAATGTATATATTTCTAATGTGAGTTATGAGGTGGGGGGGACTTTGAAAAATTCTGCTTTATATGACAGGCTAGGCTAATTCTCAAATGATTTCTAACCAAAGATATAATAGTACATTGCATATAATAAATGTTACCTGTTTTTTTTTTTTCTTCTTCTTTTTACCCTTTAGTCTTTCTACTTCTCAGGGGAAAGTAAAACTTTAAACAAACACCACCACCATTAAAAGGTCACCTAGCTAGGAATCTGTTTGTTTTGGAAATAACTGAAGGAATTCCCATGAAGTTATCAGTATAGGTGGATCCACTTGTGGTATTACCTGTATATAACACACATGCATGCACTCATGAGCACTGTTTTGGAATGTGTTTACGTTTGATTTCTCAGACATGCAAAGCTTTTGTTTTATGATAATTCACCCCAAGAATGCCATTATATGTTACTGTCTGTGGATAATTTATGATTATTTTTTTAAGCCTGTTCATTGTCTTGTTTCCTTCTGTTACCTCACATGTCTCTAGGTCATCTACTCAATTGATGGGTAGGCAGGGAACAAATTAAAGTAAAACTAATAGTACTCAGGAAAGATAATTTGTGAGGTAAATCTGCTGTTACATAGGTCATATTTTAAGGCCAAATTTGTGAATTTTAGTTTATCTAGGATGTTGCTTTCTTTCTCATTAGCTCAGATAATTGAAATCTAACTGCGTTTGGTTGCAATTTTATAACTTGCTAGATTTTTTTTTTTCTGTGAAAGGTTAGTTGCTCTCATGGCAGGCATTTATGATATAGGTAACACTGTCAGTAAAAGGGCAGCTGCCAAGAGCTGGACAAGGTATACATAAAATAGTTACAGACTAAAGTGGCGTCTTTAGTTTTGAAAGCCCATAAAGTAGGGTTTGGGGGTTTTTGAGTTTGTTTGTTTTTCCCAGAATACCCTAGACTCTTGAGGTTTAACTCCCCAGTCTTTACCAGAAAGCTAATTTAAAACTTTACAGCAAGAAATTTCTTTCAGAGCATGTCAGCTGATGGCAGAGTCTGTGGGGAATTTTACATGAAATCCTGATGAAGGTTGCTGGGAGCAGAAACCAAGAACAAGGGAAATTAGTTGACTGTCCTGAGTAGCGTCACGCACTGGTGACACTGGCTGACACCTCTACTATGCTGAGAAACTGCCTCAAACTGAAGCAGATTTATTTATGTCAGCTGGTCTTTTAAACACGCATGAACACATTTTTTTATGTCATCTGGTCTTTTAAACACGCATGAACACATTTTTGTCCTTTGGCTGTCCCCCTTCACCCCCAAGCTTGCTTGTAAGTACTGTTCCTCTCCACCCATTCTTTCCTCAGACAGGTTGCAGCACAAAGGACTGGATTTGTTTTTTTTCACATGTGTCAAATTTCAGGCCAGCCTCTCTTAGACCACACTTCTTACCTTGATTGAACTTAGATGCTTCCTAACTTACTTTGGGGAGCAGGAGGGGACCGGAGCTAGGGTTATAGAAATACAGCAGGGGTGTGGAGGAGGGGGGAGCTCAGGAAGGGTCAGAGGGCCGAATGCCCCCAACAAGAGCAAAAATAGTGCATTCAGTTCCTGCTGTGAGCCAGGCCCTAAGGATGCAGTGGTCAACAAGAGAGGCCTGTGCCTTCATGACCTTTCTAGTCTTTTGAGCTCAAGTAAAGTAACTCTTGTAAGAGCAGTTTCCGTGGAGCGGTAGGATGGAAGCCAGATTGTGCTGGGTTGAGGAGGGGGTGGGAGCTTGGGAAGTAGATATAGTGAACAGATAGGGCCCTTTCAACAAGCTTGGTGGTGAGGAGGAGGAGGAGAGCTAAAAGGGCACGGAAGGGAGGGGTTTGTTTTGTTTTGCTCTAATTTGTTTGAGGATGGAAGATTCTTGAATATTTTACGGGCTGATGAGAAAGCATCAGTAGTAATGGAGAAATTCAGAAGCACCCGGAGCAAGCAATTGAAAAAGAAAACAGGAGATCTGGGGTTATCCGTAGACTGTACTGCGGATGTAGGCAAGATTTTAGTGAAGGGGCATGAAATTGAAGTAGTTCCTGCTTTTAGATTCTATTTTCAATGTAAAGTTTCAGGGATACTAGGGTGGAAAATTAGAATGGCTAATTTATTCTGCAGCTATGTAAGAGCAGAGGGTACTAGAGGAAAACACAGTTTTCTAAGGGCTGACACTGTCCTCGTGGCTGCTTCTATTTTGTTGCCTTTGTTATCAACAGTTATGCGGGGTCATTTATTCAATGTCAAGTTGAAGTACCTTTTGGGAAAAATAGCTAGTAAACTCTTAAATATGGTCAGTTGATATAATGAGTTAAAGGTAAAATAGTTTCTAATGTTTTTATTTATCTTGTTTAATTTTTACCATGAAACCATAAAAATATGAGTAAAATACCTTATGGATTTGTGTAAAAGGTTAAAATATACAGTGAAGGAAATGCTCTTTCCTATGAATTTTTGAAAACCAGCTTCTATAAAATAATAACTCTTATTGATATTTAGCAACATTTATTGAAGAGTGAGGTGGTGGTGCTGCTCACTTTGTCATTTATATTACATATGGAATATTTGTACTTTCGTGAATCGTCCTGACATCAAAACCAGGGAAGATAATTTCCTTGTCCCTTTTGGCGATCTAGCCTTCTGAGGGTGATCAGCTTAGGTATAAAGATATTTTGCTGCTTATCTAACTGTTTACCGCATATTTTACCACTATGTACATTATTAATATTGAAACAAGAGATGCATTTCTTGGCATTTTTGTTCATTACACTTTCTTCATCTTAGTTTGTAAGCATCTTTTTTTCTCCTTCCAAATTACTGTGGAAGTTTCAGAAACTTTTTGTGAACAACTTAGAAACCTTTTAGGGAAGACTCATAATTCTGATATTTGCTGTCAGTTATTTCTGCACTAAGACATTTTTCAAATATTTTATTAGCTTGTGACTGAGTCACCACTTACTAGTTATACTACAGTGAGGGATTTTTTTTTAAACTTCTTTAAGCTTTTATTTTTTCATCTGTAAAATGAAGAAAATAATTCCTGCCTCATACCATAGTGTGAGGACTAAATGAAGTAATTCATGAGCGCTTTTCACATAGTATTGACTCATGGTAAGTGCTGAATAAATATTAATATTGTTTTTGATGTAAGCAGAGAATGAGTATGTGGAATATACTGTTTATTTAACAGATATTTTAAATAATACCGCATACTATTAGTACAGTTGATGTCAATGATGTCTTGGGGTTTTGTTTTTAAATTGGTGAGTTCTAAGGAATTATGAGATCTCTGAAAAATACTCAGCCTTGGGGAGCTGTAGAAGTTTGATTTAAGTAGCCTTGAAGTTTGCAGCCTATGTTAAAAGAATGATGATAGTCCTAAAAACAAACACCACTACCTTTCCAATTCTTTAGTAAATGCTTCTATTCTTAGGGCCTCTCTCTGTTTGTTAGCCGCCATTGAGCTAATATGCTGAGGACAACCCACTCAAAAAGAGGGAAGAAAATTATCGTTTTTGTGGAGTTTACATTTTAGAAGCATGAAAACTTTTGTGACACCATGGTTCAGTCATCTCTAGATGTAGTAGTGAAAACCAAAAAATTAACTAAAACTTAAATTTTCATATGGCTCAGAAGAAAGGTTCCTTTGTTTCTTTATGACAAAGTTGATTCTTAAGCAGGAATGTAGGCTGGTTAGAGTAGTTGACAGTACATTCTGATAGTATCTTAAAATCCCCATGAGGGTATTATAGTAAAGATTTGAATAATTCGAACAACTGCAATAACAGGCAGCGTTTGTAATGCAAATTGATGTTGTTAATTGCTTATGTAATACTTCCATTCATTTTTCTAAAGAAAATGCAGATTTTTTTTCACTCACCCAAATGATTTAACAAGTCATTAATTATAAACCTCAAACATAGTGTGGTAGAAAGGTAATGATTTTGTGTATGTGTGTGATCCATTAACTAAGCCTTGCTAGTGTGCTTTGTGCTGTTTAAATCAGTAGCATGACTTCAGATACAGTTGTTTGTCTTCCTTTTCCCTTTTTTCGCCACTACCTTTCCTGCTTGTGTTCTTCACCACCACCCTCCACCTCCATCCACCTCCATCCCAGTCCCTATAAAAATAAGTTTGGAGTGAAGGGTCCTTGGTAAAGCTGGATCATATCATCTAGAAGTATTATCTGGCCTTGAAGGTTGATGTTCACATTGATGCACCTGGACTGGTGTCCTGTAAAAGATGGAAATTTCCTCTCTGGTGAGTTTTTAGCTTGTTTGGAAGGAACTGTCAATGGTTGATTCTGGGAGATTCCCCAGAGGGCCTGTTAGAGACCCCACCGCTACTACCAAACGTGAGCTCATGGATCTTTGTTAACACTTTGAGTGGTGCACGGTAGAGTGTTGGTCAGATTAACTCTCTCCTAGTGGAACATGTAGAATCCTTTCTGTCCCAACCAGGCACCTATCTTAGAAGCTTTTCTTCTTGTGATCTTTCCTCTAATTTGAAAGTATCTGCAGCCAGTATACTTCAAGGTACTGGTTATAACTTCTGGGTTGCATGTCCTGTTCCACTTCAAAATTTCCATCTCCTTTTTTTTTTCTCCTTCTTGAGTGTTGTGATGCAGGGACCGGTGCCCATGGCGGGGCGCCAGAACCTGTCCAGCCGCGACGTATGTACAGCGATTGCACGGAGCCTGCTACACACGTGCGCGCGCGCACACGCACACACACGCCGGCTCCTGGGGGCGTGGGCTCTGGGGCAGAGCCAGCACCCGGCACAGAAGACGCAGCCCAAAACTTTCTTTTAACAGAACTACCACTGATCTCATGAGTTGATTCAGGGATTATGGTCTCAGTCCTTCAGTTTTAGGCATTGTTTCATATTTTCTAAGGATTAGTTATAGAAATTAGAAGTAAAGTCAACTTCATATATCTTTAACGTGGTTAGCAATATTTTCTTAAATGACTTAATCTTTCAGTGACCTTTTACAGAGTCATGTGAATGAGCCAAATAAGCAAACATTGGCTTAGGTTTTGTTAAGGGTAGATTATGATTTAACCACAGACTTGGTGAAAATTCAAATGTGATGATAGTTGATAACTTACCGAGTGCACAGAATGTGCCAGGTACTGAAGGTCTATTGCCTATAATCCTCATAACAGCATTTAAAGGTAGGGACTGCTAGCTCCTTTTTATGGATAGGAAACAAGCTCAGAGAGGGCAAACTCACATAGTAAATGGGGAAAACAGAATCTGAACCTAGGATCTGTCTGACTAGGTTCAAGATC